TGAGGTGATCAAACAACCTTGGTGTTGACTGCCTTCCTCTTTCTTCAGTGTTGATGTCCCTCCCCATTCCCAGTGGAGCCCCTCCTCCCCATTTTCCTACCCCATTTTGTCATTGGTCAGTCCCATCTTAGAGCTTCCCTGACCCATGGCTCCCTTATACTTGGCTGGTTTTTCAGTGACTCCAGGTTTATATATTCACATCTGAAGATTTGGAGCTAGGAATGGCAGAGGAGAAAACATGTGGCATTTGTCTTTCAGAGTCTGAGTTACCTCACTCAATATGATCTTTTCTAGGACCATATATTTACCTTCAGGTTTCATTTTTTACAGCTATATAGTATTCCATTGTATATGTGTACCACATTTTCATTACTCATTCGTCAGTTGAAGGACATTTAGGTTGTTTCATTTCCTGGCTCTTGAGTATAGGGCAGCAAAGAACATGGCTGAGCAAGTTTCTGCAGAGTAAGATGTTAAGTCCTTTAGGCATAGGCCAAGCAGTGATATGACTGGATCATATGATAGATTTATTTTTAGCTTTTTGAAGATTCTCCATTCTGATTTTCAAAGTGGCTGCACCCACAAGTTTATATTCCCACCAACAGTGAATGAGGAGTCCTCTTTCTCCACAATCTTGCCGGTATTTGTTACAAGTTTTGTTGCTCTTAGTCATTCTGAATGGGGTAAGACAAAATCTCAAACTTGTCTTTTCCTAATTGCTAAGGATAATGAACACTTTTTGATATATTTTGACTCCTTCGATTGTGAACACTCTGTTCAGATGCCTAGCCCGTGTTTTAATTGGGTCACTTGTTTCCTTCGTTATGATTTTTGAGTTCTTTGTATATCCTGGATATTTAGTCTTCTATCATGTATGGCTGGCAGAGATTCTCCCCCATTCTGGGGGGTTCTTCTTCACTTGCTTTTTCTTAGCTGTGCAGAAGCTTTTTAGTTTCTTTTGTTGAGGTTTGTTGGCTTGTTTGTTTTTGTTTTTTGAAACAGGCTCTCTATGTAGCCCTGGCTATCCTGGACCTCACTGTTTAGACCAGCCTGGCCTTGAACTCACAAAGATCCACTTGTTTCTGCCTTCTGAGAACTGGGATTAAAGACATGTGCCACAATGCCAAGCCTACTTTTTTAGTTCTATAAGGTCTTGCTTTTCAGTTGTTGACCTTAATTGCTAGACAAGAGGGTCCCATACAGAAAGTTCTTACACTTGTATCTTGTAGGGTATTTCCTATGTTTTTTTTCTAGCAGTTTTACTATTTCGGGTTTCAAATTGAGGTCTTTGATCTGCTTCAAGCTAATTTTTGGGTGGGATGATAGATACAGTTCTAATTTCATTCTTCTATTTGTGGACATCTTGTTTTCCCAGCATCAGTTGTGAGAAGATGCTGTCTTTTCTCCAGTGTGTGTTCCTCTTTGTCACATATCAGATGGCTGTAGTTACATGTACTGCGTGTCTTCTATTCTGTTCCGATGGTATGCACATCTAGTTTGTACCATATTGTTTTTATTATTTTTATTATAACTCTGTACTACATCTCCAAGTCTGGAACAGCAAGCCCTTCAGTATTATTCTTTTTGTTAATGATTCTTTGGCTGTCTGGGGTCTTCTCTGGCTCCATGTGAATTTTAGGATGGTTTCCTATTTCTGTGAAGAATGTTGTGGGTATTTTGATTGGGATTGTATTATTGGATCCATAAATTACTTTTAGTAGGATAGCTGTTTTTACCATATTAATTTTAGTGATTCATGAACACAGTGTCTTTCCATTTTCTAGTGGCTTTCTCAATTTTATTCAGAGATTTGAAGTTTTTTTTATTGTGGAAGTCTGTCACCTCCTTGGTTAGGTTTATTCCAAGATATTTTAATGCTAATGTAAATGGGAGTGTGTCTGTTGTGACCTCTTTCTTAATATGTTTGTTGGTGGTGTATAGAATGGCTACTGCTTTTTTGTAAATTGATTTTGTACCTTGTCTCTGCTGAAATTGTTCATTGTAGAAGTTTTCTGGTTGAATTTTTTGGGATCTCTTAATACACGGTATCATACTATCGGCAAATAGGGATATTTAACTTCTTTTCTTATTTGTCTCACTTTAATTTCCTTCTCTTGCCTTACTGCTCTGGCTAGTGTTTCCACCACTATATTGAAAAGGAGTGAGGATAAGTGAATAGCCCTGTCTCATTCCTGATTTTGATGGGATTGCTTCAAGTGTGTCTCTATTTATCATGATGTTAGCTTCAGGCTTGTCGTATATATCCCTTATTTAGGAGGTATGCCCCTATCAGCCCTACATTCTCTAGGACTTTCTTCATGAAAGCATGTTAGATTTTGTCTAAGGCCTTTTTTGCATCTATTGAGATGATCATGTGATTTTTGTCTTTCAGCCCATTTATATGACTTATGATTATTGACTTACATATATGTTGAGCCATCCTTGAATTTCTGGATAAAGCCAAATGATCATGGTGATGACCTTCTTGATATGTGTCTATATTTGGTTTGCTAATATTTTATTGAATTTTGCATCTGTGTTCATCAGGGATACTGATCAGTCTGTACTTCCTGTTTTTTGTTGTATCTTTCCTGGTTTGAGTATTAGAGTAGTACAGTTTTTATAGAACAAGTTTGGAGTGATTCTTCTACATACATATATTTTGTAATACTTTGTCGGGGTGATGGTACATGCCTTTAATCTCAGCACTTGGGAGGCAGAAGAAAGCAGATCTCTCTGAGTTCAAGGTCAGCCTGGTCTACAGAGTGAGTTCCAGGACAGGCTCCAAAAGCTACACAGGGGAACCCTGTCTTGAAAAACCAAAATAATAATATTAATAATAATTTAAGAAGTATTCATTGTAGTTCTTTGACTGTTTTGTAGAATTCTGATGCGACTTCATCTGGTTCTGATGTGACTTCATCTGGACCTGGACTTCTTTTTAGTTGGAAAGCACTTTATTACTGTTTCAATCTCCTCCTGTCTCAGGAGTCTGTTTAAGTTGTTGATCTCTTCTTGGTTTAACTTTGGTAGTTTAGGTGAATCAAGGAATTCATCCATTTCTTTCAGATTTTCCAACTTAATGAAGTGCATGTTTTCAAATTATTCACTTATAATAATCTGTATTTCTTTGATGTCATATTTCCCTGTTCATTTTTATTCTGTTCATTTGACTCCTCCTTTTCCCTCTATCCTCCCTCTATCTTCTTGCTCTCTCTCCCTCCCTCTCCTTCTCACTCCCTCTTTGTCTTCTGAGTAGTTGGACCAAGGAGGCCTTGATACATCTTCTAAAAGAACCAGCTCTTAGATGAATTGATCCTATGTATTATTTTCTTAGATTTTTATTATATCTTGCCATCTCCTGGGTTTGAGTTGGTTTCACAGTTTTTTAGGTTATATTATTAAGATATGTATCTTTGCCGGGCGGTGGTGGCACATGCCTTTAATCCCAGCACTCGGGAGGCAGAGGCAGGCGGATCTCTGTGAGTTCGAGGCCAGCCTGGGCTACCAAGTGAGTTCCAGGAAAGGCACAA